ATAGTAGACATACATTACGTATAATATTTATTTTCTTTTTAATTATTAAGCAGTAAAAATAATCGATGAATTAAGTTTCGTTATTTAAATAGATAGCCATATCTTCCAGTCTCTGTGTTACCGACCCTGATGCTTGTCGGCTAAGCGTTTCACTCACTGTATACCTTGTATTCACTGTATATTCGACTGTATATCCTCGACAGAATCTCTCTCACTAGGTGAAGCGAGTTCCAGGAATCATATCGATAACTTGCCGGTAACATTTTTGCCGACATCTGGAACATTTTGCAAAAACAAGTTTTTTGTAACCATCAGTGGAAGGAATCATTCGTTTCGAGAACGTCGACAATATGGAAAACAGTTCGGGGACACTGTATCAATGAGTGATATTTTATATATAATTTTGGCAATATCGAAATTTAAGTAGACAAAGTTTCTTTGAAACCTATAATGCAACCAATATTAAAAAAAAAAAACCAATATTAATCGACGTTCCTTAAACCGATCGCTGCTTTTGTACTAGCTAATAATTATCGATCACCATTGCAAGAAAAGCGGCCGAATGTGATTACGCCCACACCCCGGAAAATCTCTCAATGAACTTACAGCGGTTTTGTATATCGAAGCTACGCTGCCATAGTCGCGAGATGATTTTTATAGAAAATGATATGTATGTATATCAACGCTGTAAATAGAGACGTGTAATTTAATATACAAATAAGTAAGAGAGCGAGATGGAGAGAAAGAGAAAGACAGAGTGTGCGTGTGTGTGCGTGTGCGTGTGCGTGTGCGTATGTATATGAGAAAGGAAGATTGAGAGAGAAAAGAATGCACGTAATAAGACTTAAATCGAAACGGTCGGAGATTGTAACTGAGGGTTGCCCTTCGTGCCATACAATCGATTTTGCAATCGTGCGAGAAAACGGGAGAGCGCGCGCCTGTCGAGCTTGCAAAAGCTCTCCCTCGCGGACGATCGTCAAGGATTAGTACATAATAAGCAGAGCTCGGGTTTTCCTTCCATAAGGCACATAAAACCAGTGCGGACCTCACGTGATGCGCAATCCACACTTGTCACATGTGGTCTTTCTCAGCCAGCCATTGATCGCAACACAAATAATGAGGGTTACACTACTGTTCAGTGAAATGAGAACGTTATGAAACAATCAAAGTATTAAGTAATTCGATACAGTTAGTAAATTAATTTAAATTTTATCGTTTTCCTTGATCTCATGAGTTAAATAAAACTTGAAAATGTGCGTGTATTTGAAAAAAATTTTTTTTTTGTATTTTTATAACATTGAAAGTCATATTTCTTAATTTATCTTGTATTTTTTTTTACACGTTCCAATTTTACTGAATACAGTAATATATACTTACCTACTTTGCGGCAGAAAATGAATCAAGAATTCCATTTTACGTAAGAAAAAAAATGATGATAGATTGCGTATCACGGAACTGCATCATTATTCTTTGTATCGCGAGCCGCATTAATGTAATTTCGCTCAACCGTCTATAGTATATACAACAAATCCGAGCTCCAGCAAGCCCGTTCTCGTTGTTTATTTGTACGTCGTTCGGTAAGTCGTAACTCCCCCGAACTCGCACAGTGTCGTTATGACGAATCGATCTCGCGGAGCTTCCGGCGACGCGAAGTCGCATTTTCGACACATCAGCGAGGTCGTTAACGTAATAACGCCTGCACTGATCGTTATCTTTAAGGGCTGAGCCATCAGTTAGGTAATATGTCGAAATCATCAATGCCGTAGTTTGACACGACCTCATACGAGATCGCGATCGTCAGCAACGTATATCATTTTTATGGATTGATTTTTCGCGACTACTCGCTGAGACGAAAAACATACTGTGAACGTGAATACAGATTCGTGCGAAAAAAAATACGCACATATTTTTTTCACACGATCATTAACATTTCTTTTACATATACCATTGTATACTTTCTCATTAGAGCTAACAATTTTTATCCATTTTATAATTACAATTATAATTTTTCGACATTTTATTTTCTCATCTCTGAAACAAGAATTAAAACTTTCCGTGAAGGGAACGATCAATCGACGCACGCATCTTTTTTTCCCCTTCGACATACATTTTTCATCAACAATTTTGAGATCTGTCTCTAGTCATCCATCTTTTTCAAAATTTCCTCATCCCTCTGTGTGAATGGGTGCGATAAGCCGATCATCATCCTTCGAAGAGCGAAACTATTATTGCTCACTGAAACAGATTATTCCATTCTACTATAGTAGGAATTAATATAACTTTCTAATCTTACATCTTCATAATTATTCATTTGAAACGGAGTCTCCATCGTCAAGCTATTTTTATCGAATTTTCTAATTTAAATTGCAAAATAATATTTTTTTTATTTGAATATATGCTTTTTAATTTGTGTTCTCTCACTCGTACATTGCGTCGAAACAGCACTAAACTAAAGACCACTTTCGAAAACAGCAATATCGCTAGCAAAATCGATTGGGGAGGTGACTCAATTTCCGCGTTTCTGCGATTCGAATTACTCGCAACGGTGTAACCGAACGTGTAATCGAGTACCGACTGAAAATATAATTCCCGGAGGCTATCATCGCGCTTGCCCTCGGCGAAATTCAAAAACTTTAAAACGAGTTCTTCCGCGCTCGAGATGCAATTAGGTGTCCTTGCGGCTGCGCGCGTTTTTTTAATTGGCCCGTATTAATTAAGGTTTACGTAGCGTAAAGCTGTGGAGGCCGTCATCCGGAAGAAAATCCCCTCATCAGAGAGAATGGTTCCTCTTCGTTATTATTCTTCCACTTCCCACAATGGGCAGCCCCACAAGCCGGCTCGGTTCCTTTTGTGAGGAAGCCCCCGCGCGGAATTTTAGCGACAGAGCATCTTGTATTTATGCAAATAGCACCGTGTAACATTTATACATCTTGTAGCGCGCTGGGAGCCGCGTAACATTCACTTCCGCTTTTATATTCAGCTTCGCTTTATTATTACACTCGTTATTCCCGTTTCTTTTATTTCTGTCGTGGCGCGCCAATAATACCGTTCTTCGCTCGAAGTTCGACATTTTGCTATAAATAATACGTATCATTTCCAGAATGCACCATGTTCCATTAATAACATATTGTGCGCGCTAAAGACATCGTTCATACATGTCAACGGCAGAGCGATCGATGTCGTTTTAAAGTTTGTTTTACACTACGGCGTTGGTATAACTAACGACACATTAGTTACACGCCGCGCGTACTTATTGATATTTCATTGAACGCCTGTGAAAGCGAAGAAAGAATTTCACCCGGGAATTGTCGTCTCACCGTTACCTGTTTGTAGCGGCGATGACGGCGCTCTGATAACGCTTTCGTTTATCCGTCTCTGCATTTACATGACAAAATGCAAATCGCACGCGCCGCAAGCCGTCTAAAATGCAAATTAGTTCTATGTAAATACGTTATAAGAAGGACCGGTTATACGGCCTTTAACGCCCGCCAATGCGCTCCTCTATTTTCCGAACTGCCGTCGCTGAGCGTGCACAACTCCCTCTTTCACCTGCCGGATTCCGCCAATGCATCTTTTCACGCGTTTTGCGGAGCGTCGCGCTGCCGACCGCGTTCCGGAAACCCCTCATTATCATAGCGCGACCGTAGCTCTCACCCATCATTACCATAGCGAGCTCGCGCTTTATTTATTCTCCATCGTACTCATTTAGCGGGATGAATGAATTATACCAAAGACACTTTATCGAGCGATACGATCGATCGATCGGTGGTTGAAAACCTGACGAGTAAAGCGGCGGACTGTACACGTTTCTCCTCCACTGCGAATCGACAAACGGTCGTTAAAAAAGAAAAGAGAAAAGGAAAACGGAGGTCGCATTTTATCACAAATGGAATTTGTTTACACATAATTGTGTATTATATGTATGAAACGTGCGTATAATATTGTAATGGCTCATTAATGATATAAAATATTAATAGAAGATAATGCGGCTGCATGGCGCAAGTGTTTATCATAAACACTCGTAATAAGCGTTTATTCCATGCCGCTGCTACTCTCTATTATTATCTTATGCATTACGTCTATTAACATTATTATACGTTTATGCGTCGCAATCAGCGAGTTTTGCATATACCGATATTACTGCAGTATTCGAAGTATAAACGAGACGAGCGTACCAAAAATTTTTTATGTGGAATGTTGAAAATTCAGGTTTTTTCACGGTGAAATAACAGACAAAATCCCGGTTTTGCACGGTGAAATAACAGACAAAATCGTCAACTCGCGAATTTCGCTGATTAATCTTGCGAAGCTTGATCATGCGTCTCGTCGCGCCCCTTTACCTCGTTCGGTATTAATTAGTTTATTGTCGTTAAAGTAACTTGTTCGGAGTGCCTGATATATTAACCGACGAGAAGCGTCCGCAAGTACGTACGCGCAACCCTGTCGTTATGCAAATTCGCATCTTGCGCGGATTCCTTCGCGACGGATCCGCGCGTTGAAAGCGTCGGCTTTAATACACCGCGCGCGGCGGGTACGTGTTTGTTCGCGTTATCCTGATTTATCCTTGCAAGAAAACGAGAATAAACGATGCTGTGACACGGAATAACGCGGGCAAAACGCAATTCCTCTTAGTACTTGCGCTCATTACGGGTAAGAAACTCGCGATACAGAATTTACTGTTTCAAGGATTTCCCGATTCGCCAATCGAAACGTTTTGAAATTCAAATTACTGCTCGCTGCGCGTCACATACGCCCGTATTTTACACGTATTCCTTGATTTTAGGCGACAAAGTGGCGCGCGTACGTACCGTAACGTTGCTTCGCGTTAAGTAACATGTTTTGTATGTAGACGATGGGTGGAGCAGTGTGGAGACAGTACGCGTGTTTAAAA